AACATCCGGACGTACTGTTTCAGCTGGCTTGTATGACCACGGTGAATAACTTACACCAAAATCCACGGGAAGCAAATACTGCGATAAGAAAATAGCATGAAATTTAGACTATGAGCTGTAATTTAGCTTAAACAACGTCTGACAGCTTCATGTTTAACCTGGAAAAGCTTAAGTAATAAAGCTAGTGATATTAAAACATATACGTCTGATTTGAATTTCTAATTTTATCCAGCCATCCTGGAAGGATCTTTGTGAAACAAATATCTGAAATATTGCTTTATGGATAGCCTCTTAATGCGACGATCGAATGAAGATTGACAAATATGGCTCGATTATTTTCTGTCTTGAAGATGACAGTGAGCGGCTTTGAATTTGAACATCGTTTCGTCTCAGTACTCATGATAAAGTGCGAAAGGACTAGGTCATTTTGAAGTCAAACCACAACCGTCTATGATATTTATACATTTATCATTTTATTTTAGTTCTTTCCTCGGAGAAAAAACAGAGCTGTTTTAAAACTATAAGCGGAACACCATTATGGGCTGGAAAACAGATTCGGCCGGTCAAACAACTGCTATTGCCGATCGAGACACCAGTAAGGCAAGAGAAAGAAATTTCCTCGTGGCCAAAAAGATAAAACTACCATGGCACAACCCGATCAATAGCATTGTCGAGTTCCTGTTTCAAATGGATGCAATGGGACAGCCTGGTAACAATGCTGAAAAAGCGGGCTACGCCCTATTCAAAAGATCTTTTTCATCATTTCTCGCCTTTCCACAACCCTTAACTTGATTCAAGAATTTAAAGGGAAGTTTTCCATACAGTGCAGCTCAGTTGTGGAACTAAGGCAGGTGACACAGAACTTGGCCACGGATTTTCCGGAACAGTTTTCCAGATCTACCCCTACCCGTTTCTCTTAATGGTTTCCACGCGGCTGAACATGATTAAGTTCAGTTTGCGGTGCGGTAAACATTTTTTCAGGACCATCTTCTGCAGTAGGGGCCTCCGGCGTGTGTGTAAAGGGGAGTAACTGCACTGTGGTAGTGGTCAACGCGAAAGCTTTGCTCCTTTGGCCAGTGCGCACTTCTCCAATGTAATAATTAATGTCAGGAGCGTAGCGTCCATATACGCACATACGCCCGTGAGTACAGTTGAAATTTGGAAAAAAACACTTTTTTTCCTAAAAGGACTTTTATCATTAAATTGGGATGACTACTAAATTTTTCCCTTGTCCTTTTATCGTTCCATAAACGGGCGGCAAGAAACGTTATACAGTGAAACCTGTATTAAGCGGACACCCTCGGGGAATGCTGTAGTGTCCGCTTAATACAGGGTGTCCGCCTAAGACAGGTTTCCATAGATAACGTCATATTATATGAGGTGTCAAATGCCATCCAAATGAACAATAGAAACGTTTAGGATACTCCCAGCGACTATGACGATATACGTTTGCATCAAAATTTCTCTCTGAAGGTGGACCAATTGATCATAGTATCATAAACATAGATTGCAACTCAAATTTGAAGAAATCCGGATGAGTGAAACAAGCTCTATACAAACAAAACGAAATAGAAAGCAATTCTGTACTGTGAAACTAATCAAATAAGTACGTCAAGTCAAGTTTAATAATGTAAAAATTGAAAACGAATTTGTGGGTGGCAATTCGAGGCAATCTTTCGCATTTCCGTCGTCTAGTATGTTGTGTGGTGGAATTTAATTATAAGTGTCCGTTTAATACAGGTTGGCAACAATAAAAATGACCATTTCAGGCACTTTTTAGGTACACTTTTTAAAGGTGTCCGCGTCTGCTTAAGAGAGGTGTCCGCATAAGGGAAATAAATTTGGAGACTTCGGCTACTGTCCGCTTAATAGAGGGTGTCCGCTTAATACGGTGTCCTCTCAATACAGGTTTCACTGTAGAGAGGTGACAGACGAGAGATTGAGCTCTCTGGCAATTCTGGGCATACACAAATCAAAAGGAAGTTGATATCGATGGCATTGTATGAGAGTTTCCTCTCTGAAGGGTAGACGTCTCCTCCTTTGCTTGTATTAAAAACCTCCTTGATAGCGCGTCACAGACTGTTTTACCATTTTTCCGTTTCCACTCAACCTTCCCGATAACACTATGGGTAAAATAAACAACTACCTACAGCATATTCCTTCGTTTCTGGAGATCCCTTCTACTTCAGCTTTTCAAATTTACGTTTTTTACTTAAATTGCCGGATCGCGGAAAGCGTTCGCGACGAGACAGCACGGTAATGTGTAGGTCCGAAAATATCCATACCTTACTTTTGCTTTAGATCTCCCACCCCTCTGGAATACCCCCTTCCCCTCCCCCCTGGATTTTTCCTTATTTTTTGAACTTGGTTGGGTACCCTCGGAAAAAATATTTCGGTCAAAACTGCTGTTGTACTATTAATATTAGTATGCGAAAGATAATATTTTCTCTCTGCGATAAAATGAAAAAAAAAAAGTCTTTTTATTCGCCTAATAATCTCGAGGACTTTCTTAGCTAATAATTAACCATGGAGGCGATACCTTTAACTAGTGACTACTCGAATAATGCCATCTACAAAAGAACCAGTTACACTAGAACACGACCAAGTTACAGTGAATCAAATGTGTAATATAAGTAAATCGGAAATTTATTTATGAGCTGATGACAATTGTATTTAAAAAAATATCGTGTAAGGGCCATGAAAAAAGCATTCAGAACGACCGTAGATAAAGGAGCTATCCTATCCTATCCTATCCTAAAAGATAAATAATGCAAACAATAATAATTGTTTTGAAAAACCGGTTAAGCGTAAAATAACTGATAGCTAGCCCAACAGAGAATTTTTTATTTAGTAGTAACTCACCAATCTTACTCGGACCCCCTAGAAAAAACCTCGGGAAGCACCCCCGCCCCTCGGGAAATTTCCTCGTTATGGACCCCTTCCCCTCGGAATTTCCGTTGCCCTCCGTGGGGGAGGTGTGGATATTTTCTGGAACTACGCAACAAGGATAATTTTGTTCAAAATAATTACCAAATTCTGCTATGAAACAAAGATTTCTTGTCATAAATCGCAAAGTAAGAGGATTGTGACCTTTGCGACCTAACAACCGCGAAATTGTGACCAAGTTTTAAAAGAATTTACAGCTTCCCACGTGACCTTGTCGCGTAGGCTTGAGACTTCAAAATTCGACAACGTTAATTCAAATAGCTGAATACGGTGTATTCAACTAAGCGTTCATTGAATCTTGAGTTTCTCTTTGTTTCTCTTTTCTCGGAATTCTATGTTTTCAGCACTTGGTTAAATTTCCTAGAAAAAGCCGGTTTTCTAGGAAACCTATTAATATATGGATATCAAGCCCCATGGATATCTTTAACCAATCACTAGTTAGATATTTGCTTTGATAGGTAACCTGTTCGGTCATGCAATGAAACTTTAAGATTTCATTTGCAGAAAGACTTAGAAACATGACATATAGCGTTTTGGACAGTCTCTGTGTTTTAGAGAGAAGGTAAAAGATATCAGTAAGATACATTTTTCAGGGATATAATCCTGCATTGTCTTCATGGCGACTTTTAACCCGCGTGACCAGTATTCTCAGCTTTCAGCTCAGATAGAACAAAAGTTCTTGGACAATCAACAAACAACAGAAATCTACGAACAGAAAAATCAATGGCGCGCAGAAATTGAAGGTATCATAAGAGAAATGTACCCAGGCTGTCGACTGGTTTTATCTGGGTCGTCCGCTAATGGCTTCGGAAGTGTTCATAGCGACATAGATCTTGTGCTGTGTCTTGAGGGGTCAGCGACGACACCAGCGGCTGCTTTGAGAAGAATCGAGACTCTTTTTACTCGGAATCGTCGCCGTTTTCGTACAGAGGTACGTATTTCGAAAAGAGAATTGGTAAGGGGTTGTTTGTAGAAATCGCGTGCGGGTCCTGCTCAAACCGTAACTTCTTCCTAGTTTGATTTGTTCCTCGCAAAGTCCGTAATTCAGCTCCTTAGTTATTCTTCTTAATTGCTGTCTGGTTTGTTTCTTGCCAGCTTGGATTAGTTTTCGTCAAAATTACTTGTTTCAGTTATTTTCTTTACCCCACTTGCCTTAGTTGTGATAAGAAAAATTAATGTTGAAGGTAAAGAAAGGTAATTTACCGTACTTAACTTAACTCTTACTTAACCTCCCTCCATGAATAATTTCTGGATCCTTGAATTCTTGCAAAGGCGTAGCCGATATATAACATAATCATGAGATTTGTACTGTTTATAATTTAATTCCTCACAAACACACCTCTAGACTACTCTAGTTTCTATGGTGGGAAACAGGTACGCACTCTCACAATAAAATGTTTGGGAATTGCCGTCGCGAAGTCCACATTTTCCCGTTATGATTTTGAACATTTGGAATCCGCACCCGACGCGTCGCGTCGCGTCGCTTTCGCAATTGTATTTCTAATTTGACTGCGTCAACTTTGCTTTAAATATGTTCATCAGGTGTTTTCTTATAGTTCTATCAACAGTAAAGAGAATAATAAAATATAGTGTTCTAAGGGATAATGTTTTGTTTAAGTGAGTACCAACTTGATTTTAATCGTTCATTTCACCACTAATTGAAATAGAAGAAGCTTTTGAAAAGGAAAATTTAAAAACTGGCCGAAAGAACGTAACAGCAAAAAGTTTTTATAATTAAAAGTCAGTTGAGGAAGACATTTCCCGGCTTTAATGATATACATGGCATCCTTTTAAACTAACATGAAGAAGCTAGATGGCATTTCTGGCGATTATTTTCAACGCGCATGGGTTGCGCCTCCCGATTTTTGCTGGTATCTCGCGGGCACATGATAATTTGGACTACATCAACATTGGTCATTAAAAGGTCTACAGATTTCTATTTTATTTTATTTTTATTGTAGGTTATTGCACACGCAAGGATAAGAGTGCCCATCATGAAACTCGAGGACAGGGAGAAGTCGTTTGAAACGGATATTAGCGTGGAAAACTGGTGC